TAAATATTCAATGTAACAGTTATACCACGTCTATCACATGGTGTCACCATACAATGCTAAACCAACAAGTGTACAAATTGACACTACTTCTTAATATGGACAGTTATTATCTTACATGAATAGAATAGTTATTAAACTTTATAGGGTTCACTCGTCGACTTGTTGGTTTATCATTGAATTGTGACACCAACTGATAATGTTTTTTTTTTATTTTTTTATTGTTTCTTAAAAGTTACACCACATAATAATGTTGATAGCGTGTAAGTTGTTTAACCATTGCACTTAATAGTTTTTCTACAAATCAATTTTCAACAAATTTTAGCTCTCTTTCCTTGTTAATCAAATGCAGGAAATGGACCAATAAGAAACGGACCAAAAATTCTTACCACAGAAAGTATATTCTTTGTATATCAGATGTTTCCAAAGGGCATATTCCTCATATTGGCAATGTATAATTGTGTTGACCTTGGAAAGTTCTTATAGAAAATCTAACAATGAACCATTCCAAGTTGATCTTTAATTTATCATCACATGCACCTCCATTGACCCCAAGCTCATATGAACCCTATGCCTAAGGATTTAGATCCCTCTATTTATTTATTTTTGATAAATCATTTATGAAATAATTCAATATTAGTGAGTGACTTATTTATTTATACTACTAATAAAAGGTAGTTAAGTGAAAATTTTTTAATTGACTATTACGTCCCTATGAAAAATATTAAAGACACATTATATTCTTATGTATTTAATTATCCAATATCAATATTTATATTTATATCTTCCTATTATAATTGATTTACAACACAATAAATTATATGAATAAATATTAAATAAATAGATAAATGACAACTACATCCCATTGGTCAATTAGTTAGCCGTTAATCTTCCAATTCTTCCTTCATTGACCGACAGCTAGACACAAGTATCCAATGCGTATTGAAGATTATTAATTAACTAGTTATTATCTGTGCTTAAAGACACAAAGTAATAAAAAATGATAAATAATAAATATATTTGTATTCATACCTAAAATTAAATCACAAATATAAAGAAAAGATAAAGTAATTTAAACATCGGTTTGTAGTGAGGGTGAGAGATAGTGGGCGACAGTGGTGGTGGTGGTGGTAGAAGACAGTAATAATTGTGGTGGCGGTGGTGGTGATGGTGGCAACAATGATGGTGGTAGCGGCGATGATGGTGGTGGTAGTGGCGACGGTGAGGGTGGTGGTGATGGTGGCGGTAGGGGCGGTGGCAATGGTGTAACACCCCCCCCACTACCCAGCAAGATATTGTCCTCTTTGGCACAGGGTCACGGAACACCGTTCTCCTCCCCTGCCCTCAAGGGTTTGTTCCTCCCAGGGGTTCCCTGGGAAAAGGCCTCTTGCAAGGTAAGGGCTGAAGGCTTACTTATAAGCCCAGCAACTCCCCCCTCCGTAACCGATGTGGGATACCAGGATCTCACTGAAGGCTTCAAAGTGTGTTGCATGTTAGGTACATGTTGATTGCTTCAATTTGTTTGTTTGTTTGTTCTTTTTTTTTTTGGCTTTAATGCATGCTTCTAATTCACAAGACTGATCTACTCATTTCTAAAGATTGATTATGGGCAGATGCACTGGTGAGGTAATTTCTAGTGATAATCCTACAAGGTGAAATTTAACTAAAAGCCTATAATTTTATTTTTAAAGGTGAATTTCATGTTAATGTGCTAAGTTATGTCTCTTGATATTAAAAATACTTTAGAACTTAGTTGTATATCCTCTGGTATATTTTTGAGAAATGATTCAAAGATTCAACAAATTAACTCTTATGCATCTGTTAATTGTAATTTCAAGTTAATATTTGTACAAAGTAGTAGCTAAGTTAGTTCACTATCACTATTGATGATTAGGAATTCAGCCAAAAGTGAAACAACCCAACATTTTTTTCATTTCTGTGATTAGAAGAAGAAAAATTTTCAATTCAAGAAATGAACTTTCTGGTCAAGTAACTTATATCTATCCATAAGATAGTGTCAAGATTGGTCTGTAAAAGTGACGCTTGCCATAATTGACACTGTTATTGCGATATTGCAAATTTTACTATCTTTCTTATATAACTTACAAGCTACTTCAAACATTATTTTATGCCCTATTTTAGCACAATCCATTTAGCGAAGAAACAGTAAAATTAAAAAAACTCAACAACAAGCATTTGAAACTTTATCTAAGGAACATGATGTCATAGATATTAACTTTTTTGATTAAATTTACTAATAGGGTAACCTTCTAGACTTTATTAACAAGATCGGATAGAGCTACATGATCTTCTATAATTTAACTATTTTGTTCATTTAGAAAAAAATCATTGTAACTCAGTTATCTCATTTCATTTTAATTTTAGATCATACGTCGTCCATGCCTTTTAATTTATGTATACTATGCATTATCATGAGAAAATATGCATGATAATGGTCAAGGTCAAGCATGAACGCTTTTTGTGTTGTCTGAATTTATGCCATTTTATTAGATAAATGATGGTAAGATACTTTTGTTAGATTGTCTAGGAGGGATGGTACGACACTGAGGTGTCATAAGTGAGCCAACCCTTGAATTCCTTGGAAAATTCTCGCATGGTAACATTTCATTCCCTGAAAAAAATTCTAAATGCCTTTTCAACTCAATAAGTAATTTAAACTTAAGGAGACATTGAATTTGTAAATATGAAACTCATATGGGTCTTCATGCTGTTTCTGGATTGGATTGGGTAATCTTTAGGGTGTGTTTTCTTTAGTATGGACATTCTAAATGTTGACATAGTTGGTGTTATTCCATGATTCCACATAAAACATCATTTAATGCATATCAGAACTTATGTGGAAAAGTCTTAAAAAAATAGAATGATTAGAAACATCAATAAGAATGACAAAATACTCCAAAAACTGGTCTACAAGTGACACACACATTCAACTTCATGGATAATATTTCATGATCTTTTTGGTAGTAATATAAAACATTTGATATTCAAAATAATCTACGTGCAACCCACGTGTGCATGAGCTAATATATAATAAATTTCACTTGAATTAACATGAAGTGTTTTACAAATAAAAAAAATGAAAAATAAAAATATTGAATAAAATCTCACTCCCTCGTAACCAATCCACGAGCGAGATTTTATTTCATATATTTTTATTCAATGATAAATCTATGTGGATTCTCCTTGTATTCATGCCATGATAAATAAATCACATGACACAAATACAAGCAAAATTCCCTACATATATGTGAATTCTCAAAATTTGTGATCTACCATTGAAAAAAAATTAAAAATATAACAAATTTGAATCTTCCCCCTTGCTCCTCCACATAGGACTAATATCGAATCATGTTTTGCGAGTTCGAATCAGGTTTGTCATACTATTTTTTTAAGCAAACCAAAAAAAATATTCAAATTCGACTCGTTTAGAAAATGAACCAAGTCAGAGCCGAGCCCAAAACAAGTCGAGCTTTAGTAGCTCGATTATTTTACATATAAACAAATTGAGTTTTATGAGTTCAAGTCGAATCTTTTAAGCGCACTTTCATTACCAACAAGTCCTAAAACAGGGATTGTTTGACATAAAAATGATGGAAATGAAGATTTACAAAATCCACTTCTTACATTTATGATTGCTGAACACAAATTGGAATATCTATTTTTGATCAATCTCCTTATACCAATATTTGTGTGGAAGCATATGACTTTTTTGAAGATTTGGGTAAGTTTAAAAATTTGTTCTAGCTCAATTCGTTTTTATACAAATTAAGCCCAAATCAAATCCGAATAAACTGACTCAATTATCAACCTCACATCCAAGCATGTGTATTCGTATGTAGAATTCAATCAAGAGCTTGTCACCTAAGCATCCATAGTATCCATCTGAAAAATAAAACATCAACTCGTCAACATCCAAATCATGCATATGTAGTGGGACCCTTTACACCTTTTATGTCATACCCTAACTACTTGGGTGCATAATGAAAGTCTTAGTGGCACATTGCATCAAGATACACTATGAGGAGGAATCAAGGTGATGCAACTAAGGGTTCGACAAGTTAGTGCTGATTGTGGTAGCATGATATCATCCGACTAAGCATTGCAGAATATGGTGGGCTCAATTGAGGCAATATGGGTGCATAGCTTCAGATTGCATGATATGGCCTAAAGCCAACATGCACAATGGTTCGTGAGACAAGGTTAGCTGCTGAATGTGGGCACATGACTGACACATGGTTGTTCAATTCATGTGACCAAGAGGATGTGGGCAATTGCTGATGCATGACTCAATCAAGGTAGTTGAGCCTAGTCTGAAGGAGGTAGTTATGGGCGTTCTTAGCTATATTCTGGTCCATGTGCATGCTGATAAAGGACAGTTTCACATCAGTTACTGAATGAGTGGAACTGTTTGTCAAGTGTCGCACAGAAAAACAGTCTTGCTGACCAAGTCTACTAGTGAATAGACAGATTGTATGTAACAGCCACTTGACAGATAGAAATGTCATCTGCCATACTCCTTATATAAATAGGAGTGTTTGGACATTCTGGTGAGACAGAGAGTGTTCTTACTTTGAGTTTCTTGTAAATTGTAGAGAGCTTCAATATATAAAATTTAAGAGTGTTGGCCTAGTAAATTCTTATGTGCCTTTGTGTGAGTTTATGTCCATGTTCTTGAGATTGTGTGATTAATTGCACAGACAACGCCTTCACAAATAATCTCGAAAGAAAAATTCACAAATAATCTCGAAAGAAAAACGAATTGTTACCGTGACACTTTACTACATGATGACAAAAAGAAGATTAGTGGTGTGGTAACTAATCCAACTGCTCATTATCCATATGTCATGTCATTAATTATTTATTTAAGCAACAAACCAAAAATTAGGTCATTTGGAGAAGCCATCACCATCAATTAGCAGATAAAGTCTATGCCGAACCAATAATGCCATATTAAATAACTATATCATTAAACTTATATGATCAAAATATACATAAACATTAAACAATTAATTAATTACATACATGTTCATCCTCCACTACTAATAGTCTAATTGCTTTTAATTTTCTTCTTGTTACACCATCTATCGGAAAATACAATGAATTACAGTTGAATTTATGGCACAAGGATGTGAAAGAATTGAAAGGAATTAGTAGCAGATGGCATCAGAGGTGATCTTGATGCAATAATTCATACCATTATATATTAAACATCATCAACATCTCAGTCTTTTAATTTTTTGAACAAAAGCTTTAACAAAAAAAAAAAAAACCTAAGGGAAAGATAGAGAGTGACTACAATCACAAAGCCGGAAGAGTCGTCGGCGCCGGAGAATCACTGATCGGACCGGTTGGAGAAGTCGGAAGCGAGTCTCGACGCGATTGCTGAGTGGTACATGATGTCGTGAAACGCCGACGTGTCCATCGTCATCATCCGGAGCTGTCTGGCCTTCTCGTCGGTGAAACGACCGGGGCCGAACCGCGATCGAGACGGTTTCTGATCCAGATCCGAATCCGATTTTCTCTCCACCTTCATCGAAAGTTCGATCTTGTTGTTAGAGTTGTTGCCGGAGTCAATATAATCGGGTTCGGAAGACCAGCCGAAGAGCGGTGTCAACCAGTTAGAAGAAGAGCTTTTCCGGTGATGAGTGTCAGATTTCCGGTGACCGCTGGTAGTACACGCTCTCACTCCGACCGGTCGGAAAGGCATCAGACTCGTCGCCATTATGTTATAATTATATGTGAAATAGTAGATACAGATTTGTGGATATAGTGGGAGAGTGGAGTTTTTTTAGAGAGAAAATGAAGAGTTGTTCAAACAGAGACAGAGATTGCGTGTAAGTGCGCGTGTGTGTTTTCAGAGTTCAGTGCTTTTTTTGGGATTAATGATGGGGTTATAAAGAAGGATGGAGACGGATAAGATGGTACACGTGGCGGTAAAAGACGGACGCGGAGTGTGGTCTGACTTACGCTTTTTCGTCGCTTTTTACCGTTTGTTCCGGTTATACGGTTTGCGAGTACGGGTTTTACAATTTGTCAAAATTGCCCTTGGCTTTGGTAAAGGAAATAGAATCAAATGACCTTTGGATCCGCCATAAATACAAAGGGCGCCCACTTTATATAAGTGTGCTGTATAAAAAATGCCCGTTACGTTACGGTATTGGAGGCCGGTGATATGGTTACATTTGGATTTAACGGTCAAAAAAAAAACTCACACCCGTTATGGATGTTATGGTGGCATAACGGGTGTTACGATGATATAACGGGCTGTAGCAGGCATTATATTCCGTTATTCTATCATAACGGTTGTTACACTTCAACCGCCTTAGATTTTTTACTAAAAAAATCATAAAATTAAAGAATAAATGAAAGGAGAAGAATATAAATGCCTAAATTTGGTCACTCTTTAACGACATCAACTTCCAAATCACTGGTTGGCTACTTTGAGTGGAGCTTCAATTTTTACGTGGATTAGCCGATGGTGAATAAGAGAAATGAGCCTTCTGTTTAAGATTGTGCTATTTGGGGCAGATGAATAGCAACTATTTTGGGGGAGATGAACAGCGCGCAAAAAGTGGAAGAAAAGAGATAAATTTTAGGGTTTATATAATGGTTATGAAAAAACTAAGTTGACCTTGTTGTGAGATATTCTCTAAAGTGATAGGTAGCCCAAATGTAAAAAATGGGTTTAGTTTGGCCCAATGGAATTAACAGTCAAATTTTTTATTTTGGTAATATTTTTCTAGGAATGTACCTTCATAATTAAAAAGAAGATTTTACATCTCAATTGGATATGATTTCTAAATTTTTTCAAAAAAATTTAAGTGGATTGCCTTTAATTAAAAGTCATGTAAAAACTCTTATCATGTAATTATTAAATGATAAATTTATATAACATTGTTTATGATACAATAAAATGTATAAAGTATCACATAAGGTCTATATTTACAAAAACTTAGAGTTAAAAATGCATAAATTTATTTTTTTAGAGAGATGTGAATGAAAATAAAAATTCATGATCTCGGTTTCTATTACTGTAATGTAACACCCGTTTCATTCCATGTCCGTTACACTGTTACTATTACCGTTACGACGGGCGTTACCATTATTCAGAACCTTGGGTATACTACTTTTATAATTGAGATCCTAAAACTTATAATATGACCCCAAATATTGTATTTTATTAAATATTGAGTCTAAAATATTAAAATCGACTCTAACTTTTTTTTTTATAACTAGACCCGTAAAACTTGTGCCCTAGGCCACATAAATTATTGACTTCGACACTGCAACTCTTTTGGTAGCCAAATCGAATCCAAACACCTATCATGGTAAAAGAAACTATACATAAAATATTAAATAAGGAAATTAAAAAATTTTAAAATACTTATTTTCTTTTTTTCATTATCAGCTAAAAATGAATTATTTATGCCTAATACTAATTCAATATGGTTCGTTTTATATTCAATCGTATTCATGTTAACAAATAAAATTAACACCTAATTCTAGTATTATTTCTAATGCTACGTGCTTAATTTTTGATATATTTATTTGATAATATTAGAGGTAGTTATTAGAGAGTTATTTTATTTTATTTTTGATAAAAACGGTATAAATTCGATTAAATAAGAATATCGGAGAGGAGGAGGGGCACAATGAAAGATGGTGCCTCCTCCTCCCATACAGCCACACGATCAACATTAATAGCGTGTCTAGCTACCTTATTCCCTGTTCTTCTAACTATAGATACAGAATAATATCGAAAAGAACGTAGTGAGTGAGTTAGTAATAGAGTATTTTGTAAAAAAAAATTTATGTGGTTATTAAAATAGTGGAATAATGGGTTAGGTTAGTTGTTAAGGTAAATTTTATTATCTTATATTTATAAAAGCCTTTTTATCAATAAAATGAATAAGTTAAATTAAATTTTAAGATAAATTTTTTTGTAAAGTTTGAATGTTAAGTTTTTTCTCGAATTAAATTATTGAAAGTTTTCATCCCTCGAAACGAGTTTCCTCACTCGATTCATGTTTTTTTTTTTTTTTACAAATCGTCTAAAATCATGCACGTAAGACATTTTCTATCACCAGACAGTAACAAATTTGCTCTCAAAATTGACCAAAAATCAGCAGTTTACCTGGGGTAGAAGAAGAGCCATTTGATAAATTCGCAAGATATTTAGGCCCATAAATTTGGAAAAGTTCTCTTTGCCATTCCAAAATGGCCGTATGTTGGACACGTTTTTCTAATTTTCTAATACAATATGGGTCAAGAAGGAGAGGGCTGTTTTTTGGACGTATATGTCTAGATAAGGGGGTCTGTACACTGTAGAGAAGCCTAGACGGCACGTGTCGTTATCGATCACCTCTGGTGCCTACCTTGCTAGTGCTTCGATGGTAACGTTGTGACCGTCTATGAATAGACAAAAGCCCATTTTGAATAGTAAAATTGTACAATCTTGAATCGCAAAAGAGGATATTCGTATCCGTCAGCCTGTGACCGCCCACCCGTCTCCTAAGAATCTTATGACATAGGCAGCCTCAACCACCACCCCGCCCTCACCGCCATCCCCACCTAGTGAAGTTCCATTAGGATTTTTTATTTTGTAAAAGATAAGTTTTTATATATTTTCTTTTAATTTTTTGCATATTTTTTCTCATCTGCTACTTATATATACCATGAATAATGTACTATTACAAAATTATAAAATAATATTAAAAAGGATCTAAATTCCTAGCTTATTTACATTTAGTGCACATATGTACCCGACATTTATGGGATGCAATTAGAGGTTCGGATTACGCGTTAATATACTTGTCACAAATTAAACTTAAATCAGATTTCAAATAATCCAAATTCACATTACATTAACAATTTTCAATTTTCATTTGATCCAACTTCGTGCATCGCACAGGATGTCAACTAGTATTTATATAATAAGTTACTCTAACTTGAATCATATCATAATTAGATATTAGAATATTCGAATCAATAAGATATAGTATAAAAAATTCAAATTTGACTTATTGAGCAAAAATATCAATTCACATCCGGCTGAACATATCCATTGACAGTCTAATGAAACAACTGCCGAGGTTGTTTTGTTGTTCAGCATTTTAACTGAGTCAATAAAATGCTTGTATTATTATTTCTTAACTTTTTTTAGTTTTTTTTAATGGGAAAAGCAATCAAGCATTCACGAGTCAGACAAAACAGCAACCTTAAACCGGTGGCATGCAACAATCACTTTTAATCTAATTTTACTAGGGACCGTTCAACTAAGTCTCTTTTGCAGGATTTAGGCATGACAATCCTGTTAATATGATATTTTTGTGAGGAAAATCCAATACCATGCAATTATATTCTGTTTAATCCTGATATGGTTGACGAAAAGTCCATATCAAAATATGCATCCAGACCCAAAGACCAACGGACAGCATTGTTTGATCACAGGTTTAAGGGGGACATTACAAGTTCCTCAGCTCTAACCAAGCTTGAAGCTATAACAACAACATACACAACAGAATCAGTTCACAATTAACATTCACACCCCGCCACCTAATTTGAAAGGTTCCTCTGCTAACACAACAAGAGTAATCCTCCCTACTCTGAAACAATGTTACTTGGATCGTGGGATGCTATGATACACAATATGGGTACGGATACATAGTACAACACTTTTTTAGGTATGCGATATAATAAAGATAGATTTAATTGGTACGGTATTTTAGGTCGCAATTCATTTAAAAACTCTTATATAGATCGTTTTCACAACTATACACCATTATATATTATAGAACATTCATAAACATTAAGTTAGTTATCATTTATAGTTGTGTTTAATTTTTCATTATCTAAAACAATATATAATTATAAATCAATATACATATAATCAATTAATATGTATTTTATATTTGTACTACATGTTTTAAAATGAATTGATTTAAGGTTAATATTACAATTTAGGGTCGTCCATTTTGGTGATCTAGATCGCGAACCCACCTTGTTTGGAATCGATGTACCCAAATCGTGGATCGTTAAGAATATAGTGAATTGTGGTAAACATGCTCCGAAGAGTTATGGTTCATGTAACTAGACTTAACATTAACGTTAGGGTTCAAGTAATTGAAGTAACATCTCATAATTGGACATGGGTACAACGATGGATAGTGTCAATGTTGCTTGATTCTCGAGGTGATGGGTGGTGGTGGCTGGTGTGGGTGGTGGCCATGTCTTTTTATGGTAGTGAATACGAATACGCAGATTGTGATGGCAATGGTGAGTGTAGGTGCTGGTTCTTTCAGAAATTCATAGTAGTGATAGGACAATTTTCAGTGCATTGATGCCATGCCCAAGTGTGGTTAGGACAAGCAAAGCAGCAGCAAGTAAAATCAAAACTCGTTTTCATGAATCAATGTATTTCATAGCCAGAGACAAGGGAAACCCATGCAATAAAAATGTCACAGAAAAAAAACTTTAACATATGATCTAAGTTGTCATTGCATTTGGACTTACAGTCTGCTTATTAATCAGAGAAGAAGGCAACATCTTAATTATAAATGACTGCAGTAGATAAGGCATTAAAATTATGGAAGTGTGCGCTGATAGAGGGGCAATGCTCCCAATGCTTCGCGCTCTGCCCTCTCTCTTCTTACCTGCAACCAGGAACATTTCAAATTTATTAACCTAAGAGCGTCTTCAACCTTTACTCTTTTCTAAACCCAAATTTAAATTTAGGTCAAAAAATCCTAAAAACTTTCTCCAATGTTAAACCCAAATCCATACTAAATCAAGGGAGACCCAATTTTTAAATTTGGACTTGCCTTCATTTAAATTTGGCTTTGTCCTCTTTTAACTTTGAGTTTCTTCATTGGAGTACTTTGTATCAAATCAAGTT